CTGAAACTGCACTCAGCTCCTGTCTTGTCCCATTTTATGCCACCCATTGGAAACCTCCTGGGTGGAGGAAGCCCTGGTTGAGTAGAATTCAGAGACCCTCATCCCAGTTGGCATTAAATGGAGAAGCTGAGCATCTAGGCACCAGGTATCGGAGGCCTTCACCACAGGGCTGGGCAGGGGAGAAGAATTGGTCAACAGAAACGGCCAGCTTGCACCAGTTAGATCCAGTCCCTGCTGGAGCAGTGCCCTGTGCCCCAGATCCTCAAGAAAGTAGAAATATGATTCTTGCTTTGGAAAGTGCCCAAAGTACCTGGTGGTAAAGACTGGTATAGACAGAAGACAGAGATAGAGGTATCATTAGTCAGGAAAGGCTTCTCAGAGTGAGTCTGTAGAAGTGGGGGAACTGGGTGGAGAAGGGGTGATCAACATTGACCTCATTGAGAAGTCCCATGTTCTTGCTGTTGAACTTGGCTTTAGAGGACATTGCTTACCAGCCATAACTCTGGGGTCAGGAGCAGAGGAAACGGCTTTTCTGCGTGAGTAGGTCTCTTATAGACAGAGCTCACCTGCCACCTGACCACTCAGTTATCTAGCACACTGCTGGTGTGACTTCAGGTGTATGGCATCTCTGGACTCCCTCCTCCCTTGACGCCATTGCCAAAAGTGCAGCTGCCTTATGCCAGAGAGGTAGGACTGGCTGGTGTGATGGTAGCCTTGCTCTCACAGGGAGCCAAGCAGTCCCCGGTTGCAGACAAGTCTTGAAAGACAACTTTAGCAACTTTCTGGAAGGGCCCAGAGGCCTTGGCCCAACCATGTAAAAGTTACAGCCCACACTTCTTGTCACCAGAACAGAGTTATATCTGGGACATGGTCACTGGTTTGGGGCACTATAGAGCATCCCACCCCTGCTTCTACATACATGTGTCCACCCCCTCCCTCCATGGCATACTGAGCCCCCCACCTTTGTACAGAGAAGAACATGTGAGAGGGCAGCGGGGCAGGTGTGGGGTGTGGGAGGAGGAGGCGCTTCATCTGAAGACCTGGAGGGAAAGTCCCGTCAAGCTGATCAAGGGCGGAGGCCCCAGTGGGTACCTTTGGGGGATGCCTCTCCAAGTCGGAGTCCCCCCTGGGGCTCCATAGAACCCATCTGTCACCACCCCAGATTTTCCATCTGGAAGAAGCTGGCTGACCCATGCCTGCCCTTTGGAGAGAAATACCTCTCATAAGGTGAGAACCATGCAGACTCTGGCCTGCCAAGCCTTAGCAGGGGTAATAGTGGGCTGGGAAGAGGGGAGGCAGGGACCTGGCTATCAGCTCCCTAGAGCCCTGACTGTGTGTGCCTGGCTGCACCCTCTTCTCTGTGAACTAACTAGTTCTGGGTGACCGATCCCACAAGACTCCTCCAGTCTTCCCAGAGAAGCAGCTGCAGAGAGGGCGAGAAGCTAGCTGGCTGCATTATCAGCGGTTTGGAGTAAGTCAGGACCCAGTGGGCCATGGCAGAGCCCCAGGGCTTGCTCAAAGGGGAAGGTCCTCAGTAGTGAGGCCTGGACCTGGGCCGTCGAGGATTTCAGGCATAGGGTTCTCTGGAAGAACCTTGAGGCAGGTGGCAAAGGAGGTGATGGTTAGCTTTAGATGTTTGTTCTTCTTCCTTGAAAGCTGAGCTTTGTCTCAGGAGAAGTCTGGCCCTTCTGAATGCCATTGAACTTGTGTCACTATAATAATACAACCATGCAATACTGGAGCTCTATGGGGCCTTTGGGGTACAGAGAAGCCAACACCCTCTTTTTACAGAAGAGGAAGCTAAGATCCAGAGAAAGCATGTCACTTGCCTAAGTGCCAGACGGGATTGATTTCAATAAGTCTAGTCTCTAGTCCAGGGCAAGTTGTGACTGCCACAGCCCAGTGGCCTTAATGTTCATCGGTCTTCCATGATAGGGAATGGGAGTTAAGGGAAGTGCCCTCTTCTGTGACCTATGTATGGGCATATGGCACTGGACAGAGGAGGTATCCCCAAGAAGAGATGCTGGCCTCTTTCCAATGCTGCGCCTCTGATATTCCCATTGACCTCAGCTCAGACCATCCAGTCGCTGGGAAAACTCTTGAAGTCTCAGTGGTATGGCAGAAGAGGAGGGGCTGATAGGCCAGGGGACACCACCAACCAAGCCCTCTTCCCCCTAGACAGGGTTTCAAATAGGGAGTGTGACAATGGCTTTAGGAAAAAAAAAATGTGCACATTCCTGCCAGGAGCCTCTTGTTGGATCCCTCTTACCTTCATTCCCAGAGACCATATTTAACAAGAGTGTACAGCAAAACCTGCTCTAGAAGTCTGGGCCTTGGGTCCATGGCTTGACCCTCCTGAAACTCCCAGGGTAGCTGAGGGAACGGGCAGTGATGGATACAGAAGTCAGGGCAGTATGTGTTCAGAGGCTGATCAGAATGAGCTTCCGGAGGAGGTGAGTCTCGAGACCCATGAGAGTCAATGGTCGTGACCCAGGAGGGAAGGCAGTTAGCAAGGGAAATGGAGTTAGCAAAGTCATAAGAGAGTCCTGCAGAGTTGGGGATGTCCCTTAGAGCCCCCATGCCAATCTGGTGAAAGGAAGAAGTGTGTGTGGGGGGGTCCCACCAGGAACCCCAAATCTAGTTCTGCTTTCTGTGGTTCAAAGCCACTTTACCCCTAATAACCCTAATGACACTCTGTCTTCCCTTGGAGCCTGTCATTTGTGGGTCTCCAAGCACTGTGAAAACATTAATTAATCCTCACCGGTCCTTTGAGGTTGATCGCTTCTCCCTCTTCAGTTGGAGAGCCTCGGAAATGAAGGAAGAGGCGGAAGGTAACCTGGTCATCTGTTGGGGCTGGGCTTAGGTTTGAATCCAGACTCTCATCAGCCTTCGCCGCTCTGTGGCTTTGACCTTGGGGCTCTGGACCTGTAATGTCGAGATCCTGCCTGTCTTCCCCAAGTGAGAAGCTGATCTTGGCGGAATACAGAGTCATGATTCCCTGGACTGGAGTAGCAGTGCTTCAAGACCCTCTGGGCCACCTCCTGACTTGTATGTGTCAACCAGCCTCAAGCCGCAGGGAAGCTATTAGACTCTCCAAAATAGGTCAACCGAAACGCTCTGTTGCATTGTCCCTGCAACAGTCTGTGGTGGCCTTTCCCTTGGCCCTGGCTGTGGTGGGAGATGGAGATTGCCCACCCTCCTCCTTCAGGAACTCAGGTCAATCTCCTCCATGGGCGTAGGAGACCTGGATGCCGGGGATGCCCTAGGAGGATGGGGGAACATCATTGCCATCCCTGTGGTAACCCCCTTCCTTTGCTCTCTAGGTTCCATGTACGATGGCTTGACTGACAACTACAACAACTATGGGACCACCAGCCGGAGCAGCTACTACTCCAAGTTCCAGGCAGGAAATGGCTCGTGGGGCTATCCAGTAAGGGACTGCTTCCATTCAAAAGGACCTGGAATGTTTGGGGGGATTATTTGGGGTTCCAGGTGGAGAAGGCCTGCACTGGTTGCTAAGAAATAGTTATATGGGTCTTGGCTAGTGGGTCAGGGGTCATCAGTTCTGCAGTTCTTTGGTAGCTGGTTCAGCTTGTAGTCTCACCTTTGGTTGGTTGGTTATATTTGAGTGAACATTTTAGACAAAGCATAAAGAAGAGAGCATTTAAAAAGTCTATTTTCCTATATGTTTGATTCAGTCATGTATTTGAGAGAAGTTTGAATTCTTAAGGCCAATTTATAGACCAGTTTAGTTGTTTCTAGGAAAATCCTGAAAAGTGTTCCTTCTTTAGTATGTTCTGATGGCCAAGGAGGGACTCTAGAAGGTCCCCTGAGGCCAAGAGAGCATGTCCACTGCAGCGACTCCTGCAAAAAGGGGTAGGTGTGGAGTGAATCCTTGCTTGAGTTTTAAGTCAGACAAACTTGGGCTCACATTTGAGCTGTCACTCACTAAGCTAGTGACTTTGAGTAAGTTACTTCAACCTCTGGCCTCGAGTTCAGGTAAAGCAAACATTACAAATTCTACTTGGGAGTATTGTCAGGATTAAATGAACTAGTGTGCATTAAAAAAAAACAGATTACAACAATTCTTTAAAAATTCATATGGCTAGAGATTATTCTAGATCCTTTAATCCTGATTCAGTCTCTCTATTCCTATATGATTTCAACCCACTTTACCCATCTGACCATTTACTGAATATATTTTTACTGAGGGGAACTCTGTGCCAAGCACTGTGGTAGGCGCTTTTGATATAATTGTACAAACCAATACAGTTTTCTTCTACTCTAAAATCAGGGGTACCAGGCACTCTGAAATTCTCCCAGTCCCTAAACTCCGACTTTCATTTATTTTCACTGATCTGAATTTTAGCATGCCTTGTTCTTGGGGATTATTTCGTGAGACATTTTGGAGATGGGAGTGAAAGTCAGTTCCGGGGCTCTGTCTTCTTGGGGCTCTGGATCAGTAGCATTTTCTTCCAATCCTGTTGCTCGCAGATGCTACTCCTGATTGTCAAAGATGCTGGGTCACGGGCTAGGAAGGAGGTGGGTGGTTTATGAATGTGGTGTTCTTTTGTCATTGGTTTAATTCAATTCTATTTTTAATATTTATTTTTTAGTTGTAGTTGGACACAATACCTTTATTTTATTTGTCTTTTATGTGTTGCTGAGGATCGAACCCAAGGCTCCGTAGGTGCTAGGTGAACACTCTACCACTGAGCCACAACCCCAGCCCTGTTGATTCAGTTATTTTGGGGACTAATATTTAGTGGCTGTGTATTTTTCACATATTTGTTGGGCACTAAAAATAAGAGAATTAAATTTGCTGCAGTTTTTCCTTGATTTCTTTTTTAAATCCTTCCTCCTGTATCACAATATGAAAATTGGAACATTTAATCAACAAAGCTGAGATTCTCATGACCTGTGCTTTTTATTAACTTCTTAGACTTAGAACCAACCTTTTCATTTATCAATATCCCATCACTTTAAGCTCTCTTAGGTACAGTATTCCTGCTTACATGTATCAAAACTCATACTGAACAATGAGCTCTGGGTTGCAAAAGAGGATTTACTTTTTGCGCTTGCCTACAAGTCTTTGTCCAAAGTTAAAAACACACACAAGTGCTATCCATGATTCTTGATGTCAGCCAACACTCTTAAAACAACATGAATACAATAGGGATGACTGAACCCAGGAAGCTGGCAGATCAAACACACATGTGAAAGGGCTTTGACACAAAGGGTGATGGCCAGAAAGACCCTGAGAAATTGTCTTAGTAATGTAGGTAAAGGGATTAGGTGGACCCGCAATCCAAGTGAGTAATCATGCTGACACTAAAGATGTTCTGTGTCCTTACATACAGGATGTCACCAGGTCAGAGCTTAGAAGTGTCACATTCCACCCTGGTTCTCTCACTCTTGGAACCACTCTGGGCATTAGTTTTCTCATCCCTAAAGTAGAAGTGTCTGCTTTCCTTGCAGGTTGATATCATACCACAATAACTGTGAGTGTTATCCAATGGACAGTGTAACCATGGAAATCTGTAGAAGAACTCTTTGTGAGGAGGTGTTTCTGAAATCCATCCTCATGTGGCTTAGGTTGAGTGCTTTGTTTCTGGTTAATTAACTCAATCCTCAGCTGTCTTGCTGACTTTAATGCTCCCACCCCTCCCTGTGCCTATTTTCTGACAACCAGTGAAAATCTCTTCCCTTCCCCGCGCCCTCAGGTCCCACCCTCCTCACTCGTTTGCTGGCAGGATGGCAGACATGACTCATGACAGGGTAGCTGCTGAGGCACGTCCTGTCTCCTCTCAGTTCAGGAGAGGCTATGGGAACAGGGAAGAGCTGAGCACACACGAGGATTTGGCAGAGGGAGGGGGACAAGCAGAGGAAGTGGAATAATTGATATTGGAGCCAGACATATAATCAGTTGAGCACTGGGCAAAACCAAATGGGGGGGGGTCCAGATTTAGGAAGAAGAAGAGTGGGGGAAAATGGTCATAGAGATAGATCTGTGGCGTGAGATAATCCCATGCCTGTGGGATTTTCCCAGGGATGGTACACCTGGCATGGAATATTTTATTTCCCACCCTCTAGTGAAACCAATATGGCAGGTGAAGGCAGGGAGCGTGGGGAGGAGGGTGTGGTTCCCCTGTACAGCGTCGTCAGCATGTCTTCTGAGAGCTGAAGAGGGACCATTTCCTGCAGACACTTTATATTCACTCAGTCAGCCAACTGCTATTGAGCAACGGCTGAGGCATGGCAGTAACTGAAGGGCGCTGCAGAGACAATTGAAAAGACTCTGGCTTTGTCCCCACTGAACTTCGAGTCACGTTGGGATAAGCACAGAGGTCCACAAAGAGGATGCAGGTATTCGTTGCTAAACTCGAGAATTCCACTAATACTGTCCCTGCTCAAAATCTCAAGATGTTTCTAGAACCTCCAAACAGTTTTACTTTTTATTCTTTTCTTTTTCTTTTTTGAGATGGGATCTCACAATGTTTCCCAGGCTGGCCTCCTGATTCCTGGACCCGAGCAATTCTCCTGCCTCAGCCTCCCCCATACCCCCACCCCAAGTATCTGGGACTTACAAGCTCAAAACACCATTCCTGGCTTAAATATTTTAAAATAGAGCTGTCTGTAGTGTACATATTTGAAGAGCCATACAAGAACCAGTCTCATTTCTTTATGGTCATGACCTATGTTGGACCAGAAAATATTACCCACTTTAAGGACTTCATTCCTCAAATTTGGCTCCAGTTCCAAATATGGAAACCATCCTCAAATAACAAATTTTTGTCACTAGTGAGCAGATATTTAAATATATGAAGTATTACCTTAGAGTTTTGCTTTATATTCTATCAGCAATAGCCTTTTAATTTAAAAAATCATACTGTTTATAAACTATGATCAATCACCTATACCATAGATTTAGCAATTGACTATAGAGAGTCTTGTAAGGCTTAAAACAAAGTCTGACATACAAAAAGCATGGAGAGGATTAAGGAAAAGACTAGTCCAGAGAAATTAATTGGCACAGACCGTCCTTGACTTCTGGCCACTCCAGCCTCCTCCTTCAGAGACCAGGATCTGCTGGAGAACAGTGTTGGAGCCCCAGAATCCTGCAGACCTCAGCGATTGTAGGGAGCTGGCCAGTTGGGGCAAAAGATGGGGCCGTTGGTAGCCCCACTACCTGGTTTTTCAGATGGACAGAATCAGCTCCAAGGCTCTGGTTCTCAGAACGGAACTCATAGGATATTAGAGTCCCCACAGGGTTTACATTTTGCAGTGAGGAAACCCAGACCCAGAGAGGACAAACTACTCCCCGAAGGTCACACATCTGCCTAATGGTACAGCCAAGATCCTCTAACTCCCAACCTGATGGAGTTTGGTTATGTTACCCCAAACATTTGCAATCTCTGTGATGACCATTTTATGGGTTTTCACAATCTCCATATTTTAACACTGCACCCACGTTCTAGGGACTTGCAAGAGACCCATGAGTTCAAATTCCTTCATTCCACCCCTCCCTGCTTTCCAACCACTCTACTCTCCTTGGAGGGCACCCTAGGTCCAACACAATAAGCAGGGCATGGTCATGATTTTTTCCCTCCTAGATTCAAGCTGGGTTCCCTTGGCTATAAGCCAAAGTAGGATTCCAGATAAAATATACCAAAGTACAATATTTGGGACATAATTATACTGAAAAGTTGTTTGTTGTTTATTCTAAATTCAAATATGATTCCACATCTTGTGCTGCTGAAGAGAGCTGAGTCTGGTAACCCTAGAGGATAAAAGTAAGACTGCTTTAAGCACTTTTATCCTATGCTAGGGACCCAAGCATAATTACTTTAGGTCACATCCATTTCTATGGAGGCTTTTGGTCCATCTAGTTGTCCTTATAATGGGTCATTTGAATACCTTCCTCTGAGTCAGCTAAAATCGGGATGAGGGGAATAGAGAGCTATAACCACCGTGCAACATATGATGGTGAGCGCCATGTTAAATCACTCAACCATGCTCAGTTCAATCCAGCCTGGCATGCTTAAGAGTGAGAATCTCCAGTGGAAGGCACAGCCTTCTATTCCAAAAAGCTGAAAATAGATTTCTATCACATGGATTGGTCTCTAAAGAGGCTGAGTCAATTGGATTATCTTGATTCCCAGGCCATGCATGTGCGATTAAGATAGCCATTCCCCTTTCTACCAACTCTAGGACTAAAGGGTTTTTCTTTTTTCAAACTAAGAGGCTCATCTTGAGCATTCAGTTCTTCTGGGAGTCCTATCAAGTAAAATATTCTTTGGTTGTGGATTGGACTGGACCATCCTTCCTATGAGCTAAACCTTAGAGGAAAGAAGCCAGGAGGTCTAGAACATGGCATACCATGGTGACTGCCATATTAAATCATTCAATCATGCTCGGTTCAATCCAGCCCGATGTGCTTAAGAGTGAAAATCTCCAGGAATATTATCAAGAGAGAATTCTTTGTACTAGATCTTTTTTCCAGCCCTTTGCCTACTTGATGTTGCTATTTGATGATTCCATCATGACAGAGTCTTATACAACATGCTAGAGACTCTTACCATGAGGAGATCTGATCTTATCCACTCAAAGCAACCTGCATGAGTCTTATTACAGATGAGGGAACTATGGTTCCGTGAGGCTTCAGTAAGGGATGAAAAATCAAACACTGTGCTCTCCAGGTTGGTGGTCTACCCTTGGTCAGAGTTAGTCATGTTGATTGATTGTCCACATGACAGAATCATGGGCCAAGTACTGCAGAAACATGGCAGGACCCTTGTCCTAGAAGCAGCAGAAAGAGCGTATGCTTACCAATCCACACTAACGGAGTCTATGCCCAGTGAGTTCTGGACTTTGGCCAAGAATTTTAGATTCTAGTCCTGGTTCTTCCCCTTAACAAGCTATGTGACTCTAGTCAAGTTCCTAATCTGGCTGAGCCTCAGCCTGCCCACCTGTGAAATGGCTGAAAGTTCCTATCTCAAAGAGATGTAAGAGAGTCATGGACATGACATCAGATCGTCAGTGGGAGACCTGGATTCCAGTCTCAGTCAGACAAACTGAGCCTTCGCCCCTCTAGGCTTTGGTTTTCTCAACAATGGAGCAAGACAGTTGGAGTAGATCTTAGCTAAAGACTCATTAAGGGTTTAGTGTGGCTTGAGAGCTGACTCAGTAGCTGCAGGGCCTCAAAGCCAAGCCCATGGTCCCTCCAGGGTCAGAAGCAGTGTCAACTCCTCCAGCCCAGCTTTCTGCTTTAGGCCTCCAGATGGATGAAGGCTTTGCATTCCTCTCTGCTTTCATGTGAGCATCTCCAGGCACCAGTTAATTAGCCCTTACAAGGGGAGAGAGAGTAGGACTGCATTTACTTTAGCTTTACGGAGAGGGAAACTGAGGCACAGCAAATAGCTCTGCTGAGCAACTACCCTGAATTAGAACTGAGACTCAGCCCTCTCCTCTGCTCCCTTACCCCGCCCCTTCCTAACTCTGAGCACCACTTTCCAGGTGTGTGAGCTGGCCTCCTTTGACAGTACTTGCTGGGCCTCTGTCTTTTCTTGAAAAGTCCAGGTGAGAGGAAGAGAGACTAGACCACAGCCTCCTGCTCCCATGCAGCATGGATCCTGCCCCACGAGGGAGTGACTGATGTGTTTGCCAACTCAGTGTCACTGCTGCCAGCTCGTGACTCACTCCCACCCAGCCCTAGGAGATAGGAGGGTCCCACAAGGGCCCTAGGCTCTCACCCAACAAGAAAAGGCAAAGATCCTACTTGCCAAGGGACAGAATGTGCCTCAGAGAGAGAATGGAGGTGAGTGAGAGAGTTGACAGGGAGGCTCCCGGGGCGCCCCTCCCTGTGGAAGGCGGTGGCCGAGCTTGTGGTATGTTTTCACAGACAAATCGCTGCTACGGGGACAACTCCCTAGATTTAAGCTGTGTAGCAAAGATCTATGTCTGGAGGGTCCCCTGGACATGGGCTGTCCTTTATAGGCCACAGGCTGTATAAGCCCTGAGAAGTTTCTGACATTCTTAGGATTGGGGCCAAACTCGGGAGCTTCCTTTCTGTGCCTGCTTTGCCCTCCATGGGAAGAGCAAGTGTGACTTGAGGCCTCTTCTC